CTGCTCAGGTCCCTTCTGACCCTAGAAACTATGAAACATGATACTTTAATGCACATTAGCTTAAGTTAATGCACATTAAGGGCATGCATCTACACATGTGCATCCTTAATTCACATTAAAATGGTGAATTTAGGCTATTTGTGCTTAAATTTGATACCTGCAAATGCAGGTATCAAATTTGGTGTAAATAGCCAAAGCACATTAATACATGTGTAGATGTGTTAAACCACATTAATGCCGTGTGTGTGGACTGACTTGGGACTAATTTTAGTCCCAAGTCAGTCCACATACAGTGTTAATGTGCTGTAACACCTGCACGTGTAGACACCTGCCTAAACCCCCTTAATGCATATTAACCTAATGTGCATTAAATTTAGGTGTGGTTAAATTCACATGTAGACATGCTCAAAGGGGAGAGAACTTCAAGAACCCAGACTGACTTTGCAGGGCTGGCACTTAGAGAAACCATCTCTGCTTGTAAACGGGCCAGGCTTGATCCAGAAATCTACTGAGGCTCAGTGAGGAGAAACCCTCCCCCAGGCCATTTTTAAAACCCTTTTTCAGAGTAGAGCTGCACTCTAAGCTTAAAGGATTTGAGGGTAAGCAGCCAAAGAAGGAATTGTGCCTTTGTCAAGGTCTCTTTCATAATATAGATTCCCTTTGGAACAGAGACTGTGTCCTAGACACCTCTCTTGCTGTTTGTGATCGCCTTCTCTCACTTTCAAGATCGTGTTATCCCTGTGGCAACTATAGAGGATGCAGAAAAAGAAATCAACAATCAGGAAGAACTTGCTGTGCCTTGGTCACTGCCTTTAGTCTGATCCATGCTCTGAGAGGTTAATCCCACTTCCTGCTTTCACATTTTGTTTTGTTTCTCTCATCCTTCTGGTCCTCCTCCTCTTCTGCTTCCCCTGCAGGTGTTTCCACGTGGCCTGATCCTCTTCTCCTTACTACACATGCTGCCTTCTCACTTGTTTTCCTTTTCCCTGAGCTTGCTACCCACCCAAGCTATGCTCTTCTCACTTGCATGTTCACTCTGGTCCATAAGGATGACTCATTCTCTTAATCAGCAGTGACCCCCAGTAAAAGCATTTCAACTTACATCTAATTTTCAAGTGATTTACAAGCTTCAGAGTTTACATTTATAATATAAACAAAATCAGCCTGAATCATGTGACCAGCCAGTTCTCTGCAGCCAACAAGTGCTGGACATTGATTCTAGGGACCATGGCCTATAAAATCTCTCATCACGCAGGAAAAGCTTCTGCTAAGTACAGTGAAATCCTACACTATTTTCTAAGAGTCCATTGTAGGATGGGTTAGGTATTTCTCCATGCAGTTAATTATCAATAGCATGCTCTCTTCAACTTCAGGCAATCAGTGACCTGATCACCAGTTGGAGTATACCTGCATTTCCTCTCTCCATACACTTATACATGAATTCACGCTTGAATGTGTGTAACTACCTTTATGTATGCTTACCCTCCTACAAGCCTGTGTGTGCACATAACTACCCTCATACTGTATGGCAAATCCAGTTGAATGGCATGCATCTAGAAACTCCTTCAGAGAGATTGCCTCTTGAAGTGATACAGCCACTGTAAAAGGAGTGGGACTGCATCCAGCCAGCCCTAGGAGAGGATGCTGAAAGCATATTGAAAAGCTGTCTTCAGCCAGGGCTTGCCAGTTTAACAACTCAGTTCAGTGTTCCTATTGCACACTGGGCTCTTTGACGCAACAGAGAGCTCTTTTTTTTTTTTTTGCTTCCTCTTAAATCCGCCTGGCCAATTTAAAGCTTGTGGATTCTTTTTTTCCCCTCAGGGAAAGCTTATGAGAGGATTTTCTTTTTTAACAGTTCATTCCATGAAGCCTTTTTTTTTTGTAAATTGTTTGCTGTCAGGAAACGTTGGAGCTGAACACAAGGCTTTCATTGCAGGTCAGTAGCTGAACTCCTGACCGAAGCATTTAACATTCAAGTGTTGCTTTAGCAAGTCCTGGAGTTTGCAAGGGAAAGGCAAGTCAGCAAGGTTGTATCATTTGAGCCAATGGGAGGCTAACTTCTTAGTGAAAATTTTTGCTCTTCAGTGGTTTGGAGTGAATTTTCTGCAAGATTAATTGGTCAGGTTCATCTTGGAGACAAATGGGCCAAATCAATGTTATTTTGCTGAGAACAGTGGTGTGACACCAAGAATCAACCTGGTCCTGTGCCATTTATATACTATACGATTTGATCCACTTAAATTTTTGTAAGTTCTACAGGGGATTTTAAGGATGACAAACTTCTTTTGCTCCTTTATTAAACTAATTATATTTTTGAGTTGTTGTTTAACAGCTTATTTCTTTTTAGCAGGAGATGTTTAGAAGCATATTGCTACTTTATACAGACACTGCAGGGAAGGCAGTCATTTGCAATTGTTTTTTGTTTTCCTTTTAGATTTCTATTGAAAGAGCTCAAATTATTTACCCTGAAAAGGAAGGATGTAGATGTATCATTATTGCCTGTTTCTAACCTGTCATTGAGGTAAGTCACTTTTTTTCTCCTGTCTCAGAAATTAATTCTGAGATAGTCATTTTTTCTGTCATCTTCACTATATTTATAGAGATCTTTCTTTTATTTGCAATGCATTTGTTTTCCCTATGTGGTTAAAAAGCAGATAAACAGTCAAGTCAATCATTAAACTGTTTACCATCTGTAAGACTTGTTAAACCTTACACTTTCAATACTGTTTTCTACATTTCTATGGACTAGCATAATTTACCCATTCATTCCACAGGGGTAGGGTTTTTTCCTGAAGATGAATCAAATATCATTTTTTATTATCATCATCATGGTATAAAGTGTTGGTTAGTGTTTGCTGTCTGCCTGGGCTGGTCAATTTTCACATGAACTTTGTAAAACTGCGTTTAACTTATTTTTAGTATTGCACTTTTCCACCATCATGCCTTTCAGGGAGGGTTTAGATTAAATTGAATTGTTTCAGAACATTTTCTACCAGGGACATCATTTTAATGGTACACCAAAGGGCAACACAGAAAATAATAATCCTATCAAGCTGTTGATTTTCCTTCTCCTTAATGTCTTCTGGGTATATGAAGAAGTATATAATTTCCAAAATATCAAAATATTTATGGAGACCAAGTCAGCTGAAAAATGTTGCTGCAGTGTTCGCCCTATACAATTATGGTGAAAATAAAAATTGTAGGAATGCGGCTGTTAGTCTGAGTGATGATTACCAACCAGGGAGCTAAAGAACTGTTAATTTTTTTTCAAACAACTTAAGCTTTGGCCAGCATTGCTGAGAGACTGATTGTTCCTCCATGGTTAAGACTGTAGCAAGCTTCCCATTACTATAAATCAGATTTTTGAAACACACTTTCTGTGATTTCATCACTAGTAGAACAATCCATCTGAAGTGGCACATGGTAGTTCTCACCCAGGGGAAGTTTAGTTCAACCTAGATATGTTATTTTGTAGAGATGGGTTGATTCAGAAAGTTTCCAATACTGAAAGTCCTTCAAAGGCTTTTTCACATCCCTGTTAGTTTCCTCTATGGATTTTGAATTGCATTAACTTTGCTACAAAAAGATGCTTTTAGTGTTTGTGGATATTTTCTGAGTTGAGAAGATTAATGAAGGACTTAAAAGGTACAAAGAACTGTTTTCAAGCATATAGATAAAACATTTGATACCATAAGCATGTATTATATTCTTACATGAATAACTTAATTAAAAGATTAAATACAAATCTATTCAGCCTGCACTTCCTTCAGCCAACATCAAGCCAAATCTTTTGGCCCTTTCTGTCATGTACTTTTGGAAGAGGGGATTCATAACATTCTTAGACTCCAAATATTACAACATCTAGAAATGCACAATTAAATTCACAATTGGTATTACACAAACTGCCTATTCTTTATCACCCCAACCTATTCCCAATGCATTCTCACTTTCAACTATGCTTCCTTAAATCTTTAAACACATCATATAACAACTGAGTGATAAAATATGGCACGTTTTTTTAAATTGATTTTCAGCAGAATGAATGTTGTATGGTATTGCGTTACCTTTCCTATGGAGACCCTTTCATGGCAGGGCCTTTCCCTTTTCAAGGGGATTTTGTGGGTTGCTGTGGTTGGGATGGAGAATGTCCCTGGCGCCTAGCTACTTTGTCCTGGCTGTGAAATGCATTGATCTGTAACATCAGGTTGTTTTTTCCCCATCATTTAAATCTTCACCAGTTAAATCAGAACCTTTAAATGCTGTTCATTTTGCTTTGCGTTGCTTTGCTTCTGTTTGCTTAAATAGAAAGAAGGCAACAAGATCAGGACCACTATGCACAGAGACAAACACCCTCACACACAAATAGGTTTCTCCCTCTCAATGAATTCTTTGAAAGGTTTGTGCGTTATTTTGCATTTTACACATTCCCACCGTGACAAAAGTAGTATTTGCATGCAGGACCAGTAATGCCTTCTTCACGGAGTCATGAAATACCTTAGACTTACGGTGTCATTGGACTTGCCTTACAAAGGGCAGTGTGTTTAGGCTGCTAACCACAGGGCAAAGCATGTGCCTGTGAGAAAACAGATAGCTGTGCAGACAGGATGGAACAACAGGAGCTGCTTCAGAGTAAATGCTGAAGCTGGCTTCCCATTTTAAGCCTGAGTACATGGGGGCTAGGGACAGACTTTACACATAAACTGGTTTAAGTGATCAGGAATTGGTTTAAACCTGTAACAGAACAGAAGTTCAGTGCACATAAACCAGTTTCAAAATGGCTGAAACTGGTTTAAGATAAATCTGGTTGAATGTAGTATCAGACTTAACTAATTTCGGTCAAACTAGTTTATGCAATGTGTGTCCCATATGCCTTCCTGGTTTAAGTTAAACCAGACTCCCCCAGCATCCCAGATGCTTTGCTGGGCTGGGCTGTGCTGTCTTCTCCAGAGAACAGGCCTGACCTGGCCCCCCGCTCTCTAGCCAGAGCCCGGCAGAGACTGCAGGCACAGTATGGTCTGCCTGGCTTCTCTAACCCGAGCCACTGCAGGCATGTGCTCCCTTCCCAATTTGCAGGCATGTGCTCCCTTTCCAATTTGCTGCTTTGCTTTATGCTTCCTGCCCTATCTGCTGCTCTGCTGCCTATCCCCTCCCTGAACTGATGCTTGCCACACATAAAGGCTGCCTGTGCCACTTGTGGCATCCTGGAAAAGAGGATTGCATGGAGCTGTGTGCCTGTCTCTGGTACTTTTTGGAGAATATAAAACAGAGGTGGAGGGGCAGGAGACTGGGAGGGCATGTACGAGGGTTGGAACTTCAGTGACCTGGGGTATGGAGCTAACTCTGCTACTGACCTGAAAGGTGGCCTTGGGTAAATCACTTCTCCCCCAATACCCTTTGTTTTTCTTGTCTATTAGACTGCAAGCACTTGGCACTTCTTTTCCTCAGAGATTTGTGCAAAAAATAGTGCTGTGCTGATCTCTGTTAGCACCTCTTGACATTATGGTACTACTAATAATCAGGCTAGAGAAATGCTCCTCTTCCTTTCTGCAGGGTAAGGGAGGCCATAAGTCTACAATGCTGCTTGAAGCCTGGGGTGAAATTCGTGGCTTTTTGTTAGTTTGTACATTTGTTTACAAACTTTTCCTTGGGACAGGAGCTCTGATAGAAAAACTTGGACAAAAGTCCCAGTGAAAGATTTTTGACTTATTACTTAACAAGTGCAGTCTCACCTCAGCCACAGCAATGTTGCTCCAGCAGTATTGTGGCAATTGTGCTTCAAGAGGTGCCATGAGCCTGTCTGATCACAGGACCTTTATCCCTTGTGTCGTGTCTTGGTTTCTTTAAGATTTCTGTGCAACTGTAACACAAAGATTAATAGCAACCCTCCTCCCCACCCCCCCAAAAAAAATGTTCCAAGAATAATTTGTATTTCACCCAGTCTTTAATTTTAAAATGTATCTCAGCAGTAATTAATAACTGCCCAGGGACAGATTAAGGCTTCAGTTTGACACCTTGCCTTTGCATTTTGTCTTCTCTCTATTTCTCATTGCAGCCCCTTCTTCCAGACGTGTATTTGGAACTGATGGCAGTCTTAATAAAATGATGAGTCTGCAACGTGCATTAGGTAAATTAATGTTGAAACTGGCAAAGACTTTGCTGTTGACTTTTTTTTCTCTCTGAAATACCAATTGTGATTCTCTAGTCTGAAAGGTGAATTGCAGGTCAGGGGCAAATTAATTTATTCAGATGTCGATCTGATTCTCATTACAGCAGAGGACAGTGAGATTGACAAAGAGGATTGTAGATTATTTCATCTTGTCCCTAGAAAGTTGAACAAACCCTAAACTCTTCCATTTAGTAGGAGTATCAGAATGAATACACAGTTCAACTGTATAAACTAGCAACCTT